ACACATGTTGATGTAGAAGAGACATGGAGAAGAGGGGACACATGTTGATGTAGAAGAGACATGAAGAAGAGGGGACACATCTCTCTTCTACATCAACATGTGTCCCCTCTGTGTAGAGAGAGAGTCTCTTTACACAGAGGGGACACATGTTGATGTAGAGGAGACATGAACAAGTGGATTTTGCATAATAGGTGACCTTTAAAGCTTTTGCTTTTGCATTGGGACCATTGATACACGTTTAACATATTGCATCTTTAAAGATGAAACAAGTCGATTTACTGAGATGCAATGTGAAATTATCCAATATACTACAAAAAGTGTTTTAAAAGTATGTAATTTATGTAGCAGGAACATTTTTGTCAGCAAAAGTGAAATGTTACTCGACACAACAATATTAAACACCTAATAGAGTCATACAAATAATTTATATTAGATATATTATATGTATTATAATATCCACCACTAGTAGGGATTTAACTACTGGAAGAAATGATCCCTCCAGCGAGTCAATATCTTTCCTCAACACAAATAGAGGTGAGTTTTTAGCTCCCCATGTTGAAGTTCACTGTTGTTTTGTGGGCAGAATGACGTCCACAGAGCCATCCAGCGGACGAACTCGGCCATGTTCAACCAGGTTCTGATCCTGATCTGCACGCTGCTCTGCCTGGTGTTCACCGGGTGAGGAGGATTTGAGCTGTTTGTAAAATCTGTCTGTGTTTCTGTAGTGTGAATTAAACCTCTCAGATTCAGATGGATATGGATACCAACATTACTTTTACATGATTCAGTGTCCCTGTGGTGGTGCATTGTTTTCGGTTATTGAGTGTTTGTTCTCATTTTTCCACTCAGCACATGTGGGATCCAGCACCTGGAGCGGGCGGGGAAAAATCTGTCACTCTTCAACTCCTTCTACTTCTGCATCGTCACCTTCTCCACGGTGGGCTTCGGAGACGTCACCCCCCGCATCTGGCCTTCCCAGCTGCTGGTGGTCATCATGATCTGCGTGGCTCTGGTGGTGCTGCCTCTGCAGGTAGGGAGATATGGAAGAGGAACTACGACCCCTAAACGTTTTGTTTCTGTGCTCCACAGATCTGTATAAAGCTTCCTGAACACATGAGGCCTTCCTTTAAGTTTAAGTCGAGCCTACATTTTTTTTACTGCTGCTTTTCCAGAGGTCGTCTGATAAAAGCATTGTTATTATATATATCTTCATTTTTTATGAATTGTCTTGTTTTCTTTTTCATTTATTTTTTGTGTAAATGCTTTACGTAAAGCACATTGAAGTGCGTTTGAGTCTGAATATAGATAAAATAATCTTAACCATACATTCCAAAGACATATTAAATGATGTTTCTCAAAAACTAAAGCATTTTGGGGGGTTTGTTCCTCTATTAATACTCTTGGCTATCTGCTGAATGTTTATTTGTGTGTGTGAGCGTTACTCAGTGATCTGGCTGTGTGTCAGTTTGAGGAGCTGATGTATCTGTGGATGGAGAGACAGAAGTCCGGAGGGAACTACAGCCGGCACCGCGCGCAGACGGAGAAACACGTGGTGCTGTGTGTCAGCGCACTGAAGATAGACCTGCTGATGGACTTTCTTAATGAGTTCTACGCACACCCCAGACTGCAGGTACCAAACATCACACACTTATATACTGAAGTATACACATATTGGTGTGACGAGGCAGTGATGGACTGTAGCCCACTTCAGTTCCACTTCAAGGTGCCATTACTTTACTTTAGTATCTGCGTTTTCCGCAGCTTTATACTTTACCTCCACTAGATCACTGCTTCACTACTTTTAAAGAAATAAAAAGATCTGAGTATTTTGGCGACATCTTGAAAATTGTTTGTTTAAGGATTTTTAAAAGAAAAAACATGTGGTAACTAAGAGACATTGGTGTATTTGCAACTAAATGTTGTGACATTAACATCTTCCATAGTGGAATATACACGTGTTCTTGTGTATTCTTAAAGGACTACTACGTGGTGATCCTGTGCCCCAGTGAGATGGACCTGCAGGTGCGCAGAGTGCTGCAGATCCCTCTGTGGTCTCAGAGGGTCATCTACCTGCAGGGCTCTGTCCTCAAAGACCAGGACCTGCTCAGAGCCAAGTGAGTGACTCTTAAATCAAAGCAAAAATGCATTACTTTCCTAGAATCTAGATTTTTTTTGGTGTCAGTTTCAAAGTGTTGAAGTTATATGCCCTAGTGTAGTCTGCCTTCACTTAAACGTAATGGAACTGGATGGAATTCAGGTTGAGGGCTCAAAGCAACAACAAATTACAAATAAAACACCCAAACCTTTTAAAAGTGAATTCTCTTTGTCTTAAGTTTGTGTTTGTAAAGTTAAATGTGGCTGATGATAATCTTAGAGCTGCCAGCAGCTCATTTTATACAGTGAGTTTTAGTTTTAATAAATGGTATCACTACAGTTAAATGACTATTTGGGGAATGTTTAGATCCTATTCACTCCAGCTACTTTTCAAAAGTCTGGACAGCAAATAGGTCTCAAAACACCTTAAAGATCAGAGCTTCTGGGCTGAAGGTATCTGCAGAGTGAGGTGTGCATTGTGTGAAGGTAGTGCAGTATAACCTGCATCCACTCTCAGATCAATTCAGGGAATTAAATTAAATTAAAACTAATTACAGATAGAAGGACAAGAGTAAATGAGATACTTGTAAAACAATTTAAAGAATGAAAATAAACGGAAATGATACAACTACTGCGGGTAATAAAATGAATAATAAGAAGTAAAATGAATAAATAAATGAAATGGTACGTTTAAGTTATGTATTCCTTGCACATTTTACTTTACGGTTTAGTTTAATTCTTACATTTTAGTTAAACTAAAAGGACAACTTTTCTTCAGGAAGGTTTGTGAAATAAATGCAATCTCAGTTGTTAGAAAGAGAGGCCTGATTGATGATTAATGGTTTGGGAAACCTCATCAAGTAATTACAAATCGAAATAAAATCAGAAATAAAATATAGTTATGTAAGAGCTCTTAGTCTGGTAGCTGAAGTGATAATAATATGTTTATATGTTTACACTTATCTGTGTAATTATTATCATTTCAGTCAGACAACTCACGTGTTTCTTTAACATGTTTATAAGAAGCAGCATATAGTTAAGTTTGGCGACTAGGCTCGGGCATCATCACTCCATCGATAAACATAGCTCGATGAGTGATGATCGAATAACTAACCCCCGAGCATACAGGTGGAAGCTGGGGTGGAAGCTGGGGTGGTGGTGGGGCAGCAAGCAGTAGCGACGTGGAAGTAGCTGCAGCAATAGCAGCAGCAAGCAATGCATAGAGAGAGATCTGGCAGGTTAAATAGAGCGGCATATTAAGGAGACTCTGTTTGGTTGGTTGTAGAGTGGCAAGGGGCGTTATGTATGAATGCAGCATAAGTGCTCGAGTTGACTGCCTGAACTAGCTCGCAGGCTTCGCCCCATTTCAGTCAGACAACTCACGTGTTTCTTTAACATGTTTATTCGAAGCAGCATATAGTTAAGTTTGGCGACTAGGCTCGGGCATCATCACTCCATAGATATACATAGCACGATGAGTGATGATCGAAAAACTAACCCCCAATACTGCGTGGAGATTAGATACTATCCCCCAAAACTGCGTAGCCCGAGCCTGACGCTGGTGATGTAAATTTGATAAGTAGAGGGCCTGGCGAGCTGCCATGTGGCCATTCCTCCTAAGCACAGCGGCTTTAAGGGGAATATACTACTTAGTGAGACTGCTATGTGTAGGCCTGAGGAATAGCCCAGAGCCAATTCTTCCCCGAGCACAGCGGCTTTGAGAGGAATATACTACCTATATA